AGACAAACTTTTAGCTTTTCGAGCCGTCGATTTAATCGCTGTATAACCCTTTCTTTCAAAAAAGGGAACATTCTCGGTAGTATATCATCATGGCTGGATCGTGTGTGTTTGGGGAGTTCATAACAATTGTTCGTGATTCTATTATGGTTTTCTTGAATGTGCGTTCAGATGTTCTTGTTAATAGATCACCGTTGTACGTATTCTGGAGTGGGGTTTGTACTGCGGAGACTGTACGCCGTGGTAATGGTAATAGTATGATTCAGATGGACACTGTCGTTCGGTTGATGAACTTAATTCACCGAAAGTTTGTTTTATGCTGATGTTCGATGTGATAGAAGGATCCGGTGCGATTTTTATTATAGTTGCATAATAAAAAAGACCGGTCACGGCACCAAATATTAGAGACAAGATGTGTGTGGTTTCGGAACTTCTTAGTTTATTGTGAAAATGAAAAAGTTACACGCGTGAAAAAACACTCCTCTCGTCGCTCCCTCTTCACGCTATCAAACGTACATATTTATATGCCAACGTACAAAGAAAAGTGAATAGATATCACAGGAACAAAGGAAGATATCACTAATACAAAAGATCTAGGGAGATAGAATGTATAACAATTGATCTAGACAGAGAGAGATGTCGCCTATAACACACTGTATGCATTTATCAACGGTGGAACAACTTTCTTTTTGATTCCATCGAAGAGCGAACAAGAACGATCTATTTTTTGTCCATGTGTCTCTGATTATGATGGCATTCATTGGTATTTTAGAGGGAAACACTTCACACTAGCTGACAAGAGATTCGTAGGAGATATCCAGTGAAACTCACTCCATTATTCCATCCTAATGCAATTTATCATCACTTACACAATTGCGCTGCTCGTGAGTTCTTTGAAGAATATCATCCAGAGCAGTACCAAATTCTAGTGAAGATGTTGGATCTTGAGAATGGTAATGCTGAATTGGAGATAGTATTATTGTTCGTGGACTAGGCTCGCACTGTACTACAAGTTGTTCACGAAAATGAACTCGAACCTTTGAAAAAAAACTGAGATAGGTTGGTTTGTAAATTATTAACGTTGAAGATGAAAATAATACTCTTCGTCGTTCTCACCGTCACACCCTGGGCACTCCAACACCGTATGCAATGAATCATCCCTGGAAATATCTTTATATGTTCTTTTAGGAGGGAAACTATGATAGTGATTTGAGATTCTAGGAAAGAATATTTTAAAAACTTGGTATTTTTTGTCTGGACCATCCGCTACATGACGCGAAGCTTCTTGAGAACAATATTATTTATGGAGCCGTCGCTAAGATGCCACTTTCTTTCTTGCAACAATATTTTACTGACACTACCCAATCTACTAAAAGTTCGCCCTAATTATACCCATCCTGTAGGGTAGAGTTCTCACGCACATCTCTAGCTGTGATTGAGGGATCGACATTCAAATGCTTGAAGCATGGCTGTAAAAGTTGTCTAGAATGTTGAAGCACTTTATTAATAAGTCGATGAGTTTAGTTCAAATTGTCTGTGGAAGTTTTTCGTTATTTTGACGAAATAACTTCCCTCTTTGAAATAGTTCAGCTGCTGTATTTATATATTATCCAGATAGCACATGAAATAATATGCTCCACGTTGTTGCATCAGTTCTGTATGGGTACCACTTTCAACTATATACCCGTTATGGACAACGCAAATTAAATCACATGACCGAATAGTCGAAAGACGATGAGCGATAATGATTGATGTTCGGCTAGGATCTTCTGTTTGAGCTCGTTCTAAAGATTTTTGTACTATCTAAAAATAGGAAAATAGTCTTCTAAAAATCGATAAGAAAAGAATCACCTGTTCATTGTTGGCATCCAAAGCGCTTGAAGCTTCATCTAAGAGCAATATTTTTGGTTGACGCAGAAGCGCTCGAGCAATCGCAATACGTTGTTTCTCGCCACCAGACAAAAGACTACCTTTCATCCCTACTTTTGTCTCGTAGTTCTAAAACAAAATATAGAGCAATTACAGTTATTGAATGTTATCTTGGATTAACTGACCTCTGGAAGCTGTTGAATAAAAGAATGAATATTGGCTTTTTCTGCCGCATCGATAATATCTTCCATGGGAACGTTCTCTAGCCCATATGCTATATTCTCGGCAATGGTTAAATTGAATAAGACTGGCTCTTGACTGACAAGACTGATCTGAGAACGAATCCAATCGGTACTCAACAGTCGAATATCGATGCCGTCAAGTAGCTAGAATCAATTAATTCATTTTGAGTAATTAATCAAAACATAAGTAGATGAATACTAACAATTTGGCCATACTCGACATCATAGAATCTTTCTAATAATTGAATAATCGTTGATTTTCCACAACCAGACGCACCTAAAGCAATCATAAGATATTATCAGCAATCAAAGTAACCATTTAATTCGAACATACCAACAAGAGCCACTCGTTGACCTCGGCATAGGAGTTAAATATGGAAAAAACTAAATAAAGTCAAAGCGTATGTGTCTTACCTGGTTTTATATGTAACTGAAAATTATTAAGAATGTTAGTCGTTGGACGTGTTGGGTAGGCAAATTTAACATTATCATATTTTACTTCTCCACGAAAACCATCCTAGGCGAATTATATACGTTTGAAAAATATACTCTAAGAAAAGCATAATAGTTCTGAATATTGACTTACTAATTGTTGTTGTTTTGCTGATGCAGTTTCGATATCCGGTGTTCGATCGAATAAATCGAAGAAATTTTTAGCCGCCGATAGTGATCTACCAATTTGTTGAGTCCTGTATCAAGATACAAGGATAATTTGGGACTCAAATGCTTATGTTCTCTTACATAGTGCCAACGATTCTCAATGTTTGTGTAGTAAAAATAGCAAAAGCAAAAATCCTAGAAAAATAGAAAGGTTGCAAAATCTTGCCTACAGATAATTTCATTTTGTAATTTACTTACATTATAATATTGTTTAAGCTTATTTTATTCTGTTCGACCAGGACAAGGGCGCGCCAGAAAAGAAATGCCACAACATACGCATCGACTGCCCAGAATACACCGTAAGATAATGAAGAACGTACAGAATATTTTCGAAAGATTCTATGAAAACCAAAATTAGTTGTTGAATTGCAAAGAGTGTTCCAGAATAAATTCCTGATAGAGATTTTTCAAGAAACTCCCTGAACAACATACGCTTTTCTCCTCTTAAACAGTCTCCAATATTTTGGAGTATGAGATAGAATCAGTTGGTATAAAAAGCATAAGATTCAAAGCCACTAGTTTATCAGATTTTTTTCACGCTGTGCGCTTCACTTCTTGAACAATAGTTTCACCTTATAATGTGTTAAAATTCATCTAAAGTACAGCAATCTACACTGAAAACAAAAGAGGATTTATACGAAACTACTTTTACAACGAAATCGAAATTCTTTCGAGGGTTCGGTAATTTTCCTATCAAACCTTAAAAAAATTTAGAGTTCGTTTCAAACTGCAAAATTCTTCAAAAGCTTCATTTGATCTGAAAATCGTTTCAACAAGGTTTTTCTTCCCTACGAAACCTTTTTTAAGTGTCCAAACTGTCTTTGACATCGACTAAAATCTTTTGCTTTTAGTGTAGTACACTCAGATCAGAACGATCAAAAGGAACAATTGTTCAAGAATAGAAAGAAAGCCATCCAGAGGGGAAATTTGACCCAGTGTTGATCTTGGAATCTATGTTTCCAAGGAATCGATTTCGTCATATACCGAAAAATCTTGTAGACTGTTTAATAAAATAACTATAATACGTCCTGTAGAAAGCTTCTTAAGAGATCGACGCGAGGCACATTTTTGTTGTAAACTATTGCCATGACTTAAAGAAAAGTCATGTGAAGAAATGTGCGTATATGTCAGAATGAAGCTTCAAGAGTTAGGTTTTATGTAGGCACTAAAACTATTGCGTGCCATCGAAAAATCTCGTCTGCAATATGCAAATATCCCTGAGTAGTTTAGTCATTCACAAAATTTTGGAGAAGAAGAGGGGCAGCTCCAACGATAATGACATAATATTTTACTATTTTACTATCTTCTAGTCTCACTAAGAGCTATAGATTCACTTAATACTCATCTCATTATGAAGGATTCTTTAGGTGAGCTACATCTATTAATATATCAAAATATGGGAAAAAACTAGGAGCATCTTGAGCATCAGCCAGATTCTAGTTGAAGAAAGGAAGATACGCATTTACTAATGCTATAGAATAGTTCTAGACGCTATTCGACAATAAAATTGCGCTTTTTAGTACATATTCACCTTTTTAATTAAAAGAGCAGTTTTAAAGATTTATAATTTATATATATATATGGGCAAAATCATTTTAATAGCGACGTGACATCTTACACTTTCAATATGTATATCTCTGGATAAGGAGTTCGTCTCGAGCTGATTTTTTCCCATCACATGTATGCTAAGTTTTCTTATGTACCTTGCAAAATTCAGCAGTGGAATGCCTTGCTAGTAGAAGCTGCTGCTAAAAAATTGTCGTTAGCGACGTGACTGAAAAAAGGACATCAAGTTCCTGTATGAGCATTTTAGTTTCAAAAATCTGCGAATTTAGACACTATTTTCAAAAGCCTAATAGAATCTTCTGTAGATGATTTTTGAAGCTACCAAATAGCTGTCTAACCTTTTTCTAACTAAATTTAAATTTTCCAAAAAATTGAGTGAATTCGGCGTTAGTGACGTCATGAAATTGTTAGCGACGTGACAGCGTACGAATATATGAACCGAAAATGCTTGTATTACTGAATGAAAAGCTTTCAAAAGGGTGCAAATTTTTTTGTGGGACTTTATGGGGCCCCCAGAGGGCCGATTTTTATTAGGAAAAAATTTTGGCGTCCGATCTTGCTGAAAATTTTATCATATATGTGGCTCTGGCCCTAGAGTCTATCCTGAAAATTTCAGATTTTTTTCTCATGTGATTAGAGAGATATTCACCAATTACTTCTTAAACAATTAGCCAGTAAACTAGCTTTAATTTATTAGCACCTAAAAGACCGAATCTTGTTAACATCTCTATGCTAAAATAACTTATTCGGTAAAACATACACTTGCAGAAAATTAGAGTCAAATGAAAACGATGTGTATCCCCTTTTGTCGTATTTTGTCCATCTATTATTAGCGACGTGACTCAACTAAATAAGTCATATTCCGTCAATAGACAGAATAGAAAAAAAACTATATATACGATATACCTACTTAGCACATGAAACTATGTTTATATAAATAGTTTTAAATCTGATGGACAATTGTTTTAAGAGAAAAAAAGAATTTTTGTGAAATTTCGTTAGCGACGTGACAGTAAAAATAGGTAATTTTAAAGTAAATTATTTTGAAACAAACAAATTCTTTTTTTTTTTCATTTCTGAATAATTAGAAGCAGCATTGAATGAACTCAAGATCCATGCAGAAAAACGTTCATCTACGTTTCTAGTTAATGTGAAATTATTACATTTTCTCACAAGAAAAATATCTTGATTTTTACGCTATTTAGGTGCTTCTAAGCATGAGATTTTTGTACTATCTACAATGATTCAAATGAAAAACACAAATCGATTTCTTAAACTAGGGGATGTAGACTATCACTCCATCGTATTTCCGCAATTCGATTTTGACTTTGAAAAAACAAGAAAATGTCCTGTTTTGCGTGATTTCGCCCATATATATATATACAATTACTAGAGCACATGAATTTGAGAACTCTTTTCTTTAAATGTTGTAATGTACAATATATCACTTAATTAATTGTTAAATTCATTTTAATTCGTTTTTCCTTGTTGATATTATAACTCTAAATCAGAATGTTAGAAATTTCCAAATATTTCTAATAGCAACTGCAGTGTACAACTGTAGCCGGCATCTTGCCTCAGCAGACGAGCTCTATTAGAACCCGGGTCTCAAGTGCAGGTGTTCTGTTGATTTTATGATCTCTGGTAAGAATTTTATCGAAACTAGATGAATACGTTCATAATGTTCTAGAGAATACAGTGAGAACTCTAAAAACTTCAACGTTCAAACGAAGAACTGCAGTTGGTCAAATATTTCTTCATATGAACAGTGAGTATTTCAGAGCTTCAGTCATCTTTCTTCAAGTATATTAAGCATCGCTCAGCTGCCTTTTCTAAAATTTTCATAGTGGTAAATCCTCAGTAGGATGCGCTGCATTAAGCGACCAGAAACAGTTGACAAGAGAGATGCTGACGACCTACTGCAAGGTGGACAATGTCAGGCACCTTCTAAAATATATTATGAAGGCATCACAGTAAGGTAGAAGTTAGTCAAAGGTTATATAAACCGCCTATAGGGTGCTATGTATGAATAAAAAATATATAAAATACTGAGAGACTAACATAAGCTTTTGACGTAGAAGTGCAGAGTATTGCTGCAACATCTCCTTTTCCATGGACAATTGCTTTATTGTTCGCATATTGTGGATAACTTCAGTCGTGAGCTGCAAAAGAAGAGAAAACAAATATATCACATTTGATTTATCAGACATTGCGTATAAGTTAATATTGTTTATTTATAATAGGGTTCTGAGCAGCAGTAATATCTTACCGAACTTGCTTGTTCCAGAATGACTCCATCTTGTTGATTTAACCACATATTGAAGCGAATATTCATATAAGTAAATGCTATATAGATTATTAAAGGAATCAAAACGATTAATGTTAGTTGCATATTGAAGAAAATGCCAAATGTAAAGCCAAAACAGGCCATTGCTAAGCTTTCACAAATTACTCCTAATCGTGAGCCAGTCATCTGTTGAATAGCTGATGCATCGGTAGAGAGACGGGTAGAAATAGCTCCCGAACTATTTTCAGGCTGGTCGAAATAAGTGATCTCTTGACGAAGAAGGCATTTAAATGCTTTTAAACGGATACGTTGAGTTAATTTCGATCCTGATATCGCAAAAGCTGTGTACTAGATAGTATGTTGAGAAAGCTATTATAGAATATAAGTTTCAAATCTTTTTACTTGAAAAAAACGAAGAAATAAAACAATGACGCCCAAACCCAATAGAACAAAACTTGAGCTCAATACTTTACGACGTCGTTCATTGTATAAGCAGTCATTGAAGGCCTTGGAAACGAATAGACAAGAGAACGTGCAAGATATTTATCCGATTTGCAAAATATGCATGTCAATAAATTGTGTACCTTAATTATATTGGTCACTAGAATTGCAAAAACTGATTGGGTGGCGCCATTAAAAAGGCAAGCCACACAACCAATGAATATGGTACGCCATTCTGGACTGTTCATTGATAAGAGTCTTAAGAAGATGAACCGATGAGTGAATGGCATTGAAGTTTTCTTAGAAAAAAACATTGAATACTGTTTTGTATAAAAATTGTACGTTTACTCCTACTTTGTTCATATCAGTAGTTTGACCGTTATCGAGTAAATTGCAGTATTCAGCTATTCAAGGAAATACTTTAATGATACAGAAATGTGAATATGATTAGGATATGACCATACAGATCTCTTTTTCATCGTTTCTTTTTGTCTTAGTTGTGTTTATTTTACCATTATTATCCTTATTTTTTGCTTCTATTTGCTGCATTTTAACCATTTCTCGATATCTACCTCCTTCTTTGACCATCAACATTTCATGTGTACCTTGTTCAATTACACTTCCGTTACCGATTACGTATATGTGTGAAGCGTTTTGAATTGTACTTAAACGATGCGAAATTATAATAGTTGTACGACCTTTGGATAATGTTCTATAAAATAATAAAAATGAAGAGCAAGTGATTACCTTTACATGCTCGATCAAGTGCTTCCTGAACAAGTTTTTCGTTAACACTATCAAGTGCACTTGTTGCTTCATCTAACAGAAGCAGGACAGGTTGCTTGACAAGAGCACGGGCTAAAGCAATGCGCTGCTTTTCGCCACCGCTTAATTGAATGCCACGTTCGCCAACCAGCGTTTCATATTTCTAAATGAGAAAAGTACAAATATTGATACAGTTGAATAGCGAGATACGAATGTGAAACACAAACCTTTGGTAGTTTCATAATGAAATCGTGCGCATTCGCTTGTTGTGCTGCTTGTTCAATTTCTATTCGTGTTGCATTCGATTTACCGAACCGAATATTTTCGTAAATACTCATGCCAAATAGAATCTATTCAATGATACAAAAGATAAGATAGGAAAAATAGAATACATACGGGTTCTTGGCTAACAACTCCAATGTGCTGCCGAAGTTGTTTGAGATTATAGTCCGTAATCGATCTATTATTTATCATGATTCGACCTGATTCGAGTTCATAATAACGAAGGAGAAGTGAGAGACAGGTACTTTTTCCTGTTCAAAAATTATCAGAAGAAATGCAAAAATTTACAACGAAATCTCTATCTGAAAGGCTTACCACAACCACTTGCTCCCACAAGAGCAGTAGTTTGCCCAGTACGTGCAATAAGATTAAGATTATTCAATACAGGTATATTTTTTCGAGATGGATATGCAAAGTTAATATTGATAAATTCAATATCACAATTAACATCAATTAATTCTTCGCCTAATATGCTGTCGTTCCATATTTCCGTTTCATTTTTGCTTGTATCACGTGCCTAAATTAAGAAAGTAAATAGAAAGCATGATATTCAATATGAAACATTAATGAACTTCGATTTACTTCATCAATGAGTTGAAATACTCGAGCTGCCGCGCCTCGAGCTTCGGAAAGCGACTGTAGATATGGACCAGCAAAACTAAAAAAAAACATTGCTTGGGAAAGTATCAGCACAACCTATACAAAGCGAATAACTAAGTATTCTTTCGTTGTCGACTCGTGATCCGAACGACTTACTATGACGATACTACGAAAAGATGCTGCGTTCTGATTTTCGTAAGTCATGAGCATATAGCCAAATATAAAACCGAATGCATAGACTACATAAACAATTAACGACATCCAAGCCATGAAAACAGCAAATATGGCGCCTTTACGTATATTACTCCGATGCGTTGGATGCAACTCTCTTTCATATCTAAATGTAACAGATACAAAACCGTTTACGTATCTCTCTTATCTTTAAAATAAATCCGAAAACTTCGGACTTTATCCGAAAGTTATGTGTACTTCAAAAAGTGTATCAGATGGCACACAAAAATCTGAGAATTTTTTTGTAAGTTAGTAGTATTACAGTCGATCGGACTCATCTTCGAACTCGTCTGCGGCATTTACAAGATAATGCTATGTATCAAATTTCATGAAAATTAGATTATTCTTTCGGGAGTTATCGGATTAACAGTCAGACGGACCTATTCTATAGTATACTCACTCTTTGAGTACACAAAAACCAGCATGCAAAGTTTGACAACCTTATCTGCCATAGAATCACTTGGATGATAACTCACCGACGCCAACCTTATCCATCTACCCTTCCATATGTCCACAAAAGTAGCACGGAGGGTTTAGCGTACAATCTTGACACGAAATCGCGTGGGTGAAATTTCACCCAGACACCACCCATGTCGTCGACACCTATCATCCTCACTAGTATGCGAACAGTCTTTTGATGCTTTCTAGACATATGGAAGCAGCATGCAAAGTTTCGCGGCGTTTTCAGTTATAGAACCACTTGGGTGAGATTGCACCCACACCATCCTTACCCACCCTCATCACTGATCCACTAACTCTCTTTCGATGTTTCCCTACATTTACAGAAGCACTATGAAAGATTTCGTGACTTTTTCTGATGCAAAATCGCTTGGGTGAAATTCCACCCAAGCCTACCCCTTCACTGGTCAATCAACATTTTTCTGGATCCAAAGAAACAGTACAGAAGGTTTCGTGGCCATAGCTGATACAAAAAGTGAATGCAAATCGAACAAGCGGATAAACACGCAAATCTTCAAGTTTTTCATATAGGAATTAGAGAAAACTTTATCAAAAGTCAGCAAGAGTACAGCCGATCAGGCTCATCTTCGAACTCGACCGAAGCATTTACAAGATAATGCTATGTATCAAATTTCATGAAAATTAGATTATTCTTTCAGGAGTTATCGGATTAACGGCCGGGCGGACATACTGACCGATTCTATAGTGTACTCACTTTTTGAGTACACAAAAAGATGATTTAAATTGTGACAATCTCTCATGCTCACAATAACAAGTAGTGCCAGTGGTGAAAAAAGTCCCTTGTAAGATAATCTGACTTACGTGTTCGTATAGATTCGAGTTCATTGATATTCATTTGTCGATGTTGAAATATAAAAGTTCGCATCTTCACTAATATGAGAATTATTATTGGTAAAACTAATCGAAGAGAAATTTGAAGGCCACCCATTAAACCAATAAGATTTGTGACAATATAAATAGTTTGAAATTTTGTTTTATAAGTATATTGACATGATAATGGTCGGCATTGATTAAAATAAGACTGATATGAACTTCCATTAAGCCAAGATCGAATGAATAACTTATTTGTTAAATTTTCTATTGGACTAAATGTTTCATTCTCTGAGCAATCTGTTAAAATATTATAGTCATCTAATGATATGTTTGATAAAATAAATTTTTTGATTTCAGACAGACACGTGCGATTATAAAGACATTCTAGTGTTGATATCAAAACTGCTTGTAATGGAAACCATGTTTGATACATTCCTGGTATAATAATAGAGTCAAACCTTTTGTCTTTAATGATTGTTTGTCTATGACATAGATCATAGGAGGGTAGAGAACACGAATAACGAAGGGGATCTTCTGATGAAGCATCACAAGTCGGTCTTTCTTTCGAATTATAACGAAAATACAGTAAACGAAGGATGTAATTTCCGTTTGAATCTCTGTAATCGTATAAGAACCACGAGTTTGTTGGTGTAACAAATTGATTGATTTCAAAATTTGATTTTAATAAACCAATGATACGTTGGTATGATTCAGGAATTGTTTGTTGGAATTGCTTCATAATTAAATCCGTTTGTGTATTAAATACTTTGGAATGATACAATTCCTTACTCACAAATTTCGTTCGATAGAATAGCTCAAGAGATTCATTAATCGTTTGATTAGCCATAGTGCATAATGTTGATAAAAGTTGAAAATAGAATTGAGATTGATAACGATAATCCCGTGTGAAAATCGGCGATTGAGAGAATCGCATATTTATCCATTCTGATGAAAGAAATTTACTTGAACATATCCCGTAATATTGAGGAGTAAGCGACAAAATCGATTGATAATCGATAGCGGTATGTTGACAGGGACAATGAAGCGTTAAGAGATGCTTTTCATAAAGCTCTTCNTTTGAACATGTCGACACATTTGCAAGCTTTCGACACTTACGGAACCTTTTTGATGGATTTGGTAGAGTACCTTTTTTTCAGTCTACGGAATTTCATTTTTTCATCTTGTAGTGCCTACATCTCCTCAACAATAAGAGCAAAACTTTTTTGAATTTTTCTCATAAATACAGCTCGTTTGGTTCTATTGATAGTAATAATCTCATTTGGTTTTCTTAAGCCAGATCTGTGTTATTGAACAAACACTGACCATTACGGAATTTCACGAAATAGACATTTTCTTTAGGTGCCCTGAGACTTTGATATTTTACTGCGAAACAGAACTGTGCGCAAATAAACGTTCTATATAAAAGTTGTTGCGTTGTAAACAAGCTTTCAAAATAACAGAGTGTTTTTCTTAAAGCATGACTACATCAAATAAAAATCTGTAAATATTGTTCGTTACGGAATTTCGCCTTTTTTCAGAAAGTCTCAGTTTCATTGAGAATAAAAGCAGGAATAATGGATAGTAATTACATATTCATCCAGAGTATGAAATTCTACATCAAACGAACTATGTTTTACTAAAATCGGAGGAAAATGTTTTTCCGCCGTTTTCGACACGAAAAATTTTCGAGAAAAATCAAAGTTTAAATTTCGGAGAACTGAACAGGATATTCTGTTGAGAATTTAATGCTGATTTTAAATATATCCAAATATACTTCTGTTTGTGAAGGAAAACACCACTAAACGCTGAATGAAGCAAGGATACCGTAATTTTCAGTTTCTAATGAAATTCCGTAACGTAATATTTTTAGAAAAATTATATCAAGGTTTGACCAAGGTACAATAAAAATGATGTATTCGATAGAGCTCGTTGACGTCTACTTGGATGTGCTGCTTTTGTTCCGGAAGTTCTCAATATATGTGAGAAAAATAACTTAGAAGCAAGTTTCGTTACGGAATTTCGCAAAAAATGAAGATGGTTTGTGAATGTTTTGTGTCGCTTCAAGAATATTTAAAGATTGCGCAAAGTACATATTCAAAAAGAGCCAGATGTTTTCTGTCGATCAATATCAAATTCGTTTTTTTTTCGACCTACATGTTGGTGTTTTTGACAACAATTTATACACTAGGGATTGAGTAGTTATTCTGAGAGTGACTCACTCACAACAAAAAAGATCATAGTATTGGACCGCAATCAAATTCACAAGAGCTAGAGACATCTGTTTAAAGACAATTGATAATGATCTTTTCACTACTATATCGAGTTTCTTGCACGCTTGACTTCGAACCTGCTTCATCGAAGGTGGTCGTTAGTTGGCTGAGCCGTTATGCAACCTCGAGATACTTCATATCTACATAAAATCATAAAAGCAGGAAACAAAACAAAATATTCCCTCGACTGAAAGGAGGGTGATATGAAAAAACAGTTTGTCTATTTGTTTGTGTCAGGATCAAAGGTCGAAAAAACACTTCTTTTTGAAAACTCTCAAAACTTCATAAAACATCGTTTGGATGTGGTGTAGAGGGTAGAGTTTGGTAGGAGATGAGTGACGGCGTCAAAAGAGCGCCGTAGAAGATGAGTTCAAAGGCGCATGAAACATCCGATGAAGATATCGCATAGGTCGTTAAAGACAGTTATCTATCTGACGCAGAAAAGATCAGATAAAATAGCTTGGTCACCTGTATAACATTTATATGTTTGCACTTAAATGGATGCTAAGAGAACCAGGCAAAGGTATACAAGGGCACGGCTAAGCGTTACGGAATTGCATTTTTTTACTTTCGATACCTATATATCCTCCTTATAGACATCAAAAACTTCCGAAATTTTTACTGCAAGACTACATTACTTCACTCTACAATCGATAAAAATCTCATCCATTCATCCCTCATAGAACCGAATTTATCGAAGGAATACCACCCGTTACGGAATTTGGGGAAAAGTCCTGACTTCGAGGGTGACCTCAGACAAGCCAGTTTCCCGAAGCAGCACAATGTCTGCAGACTGTCCCTCCTCACTACCGTAGTTCGGCTTAGATTAACCCTTTACGGCTGGATGGTACCTAGCGGTACCATCGAAAAACTATTTCCCCAAGAACTCGTTCAAGCTAGGATAGAATATCGATCTCTTGTCACGATAATTAAGAGCAGATATTGTACAGTTAATTCATCTTGTATTGATGGTCAAGATTTATTGTTTATCTCAAACAGCCTGATAAAACATTTATTGATTGATAAATCAATATTATCACAATTATCATTTTTCTGGACAGCAATAAAACTCTATGTGAATGTTCCCTATTATGAAACTTTTCTGGATGGATTGCCAATATATCTCATGAGCAACAATAACTCTGTAATAATATATAATACGAAAAAACCGAGAATGTTACCTTTCGGTTACATCCGGCCGTATGGGGTCACAATTTCCCAAAATTGTTCCAAGCTTTCTTTTCTAAAATCTAACAGCTGTTGCACATTTTCGAGCTTAGTTTCAGTCTCAAAGCATGATTTCTAGCTACTTTGAGACAATGAGGCTATATATGGAGCATGCATAACAATTGAGCGAACCAAGTTTTCAAAAGTCGTGGTAATATTTCATGAAAAATAACTACCACAAAAAATCTAGTGTTCTCGAATGAAAATTATCCCTGATACTAAACAAAAAATACGTGAAACGATGTCTTCGTCGAACTTTTTTTTACTATGCACTGATGCCATCTATTGGACAAATCGTTATTAGTGAATAGCCAATCCTTTCAAATTATGACTACGACGAGCTGTTAGAACTGTCAAATTCATCTGTCAAAGCCAAAACGAGAGTCACATAAATACGAATTTTTACTTGAATATTTTGTCTAAAAGACTAACAGTGATATTGTGAGTTATTATCAGATTTCAGAAGATTAAATAAAAAATTTCAATTCGATCATTTTTAGAAATGTCTAATAGAAGAACGACTAACATTCACAGTACCATACCAAACGGTACGAGCGAAGAAATTGATACGTCCGAATCGGACGATGAAATGCAAAATGTTAGGAAGGTTTTGAAGAAACGTTTGGTGATGAGCGATAGTTCTTCAGTGACTGAAAATAGTGATTCTGAACAGGAACTTTCCGAAAACACATCTAAATCGAAGAAAAAGAAAAAAATGCATTGGATTAAGAGATCGTTTGTACCACCACCATCACCATTTACTGGAAGCTTTCCACCACCTCCAATCGATTCTGAACCAGAACCAATTGATTATTTTTGTTCAATGTTTGGCAAAGAGTCATTTAATATTTTAAAAGACCAGTCAAATCTTTACTCAGTCCAGACGAATCCGAACCGACCGGCGAATATTTCAGATACTGAAATTCGCCAATTCATCGGAATTTTGATTATGTCAGGCGTATATTCATTCCCTCAACAGCGGTTTTATTGGATGGATAGCACCCGTATACAATCTATTGCATCGGTGATGAGCCGAGATCGATTCTTATCAATCAAGAAATGTTTTCATGTAGTCGACAATACCAATAAACCAGATCAGAATGATCCTAATTATGATCGAGCTTTCAAAGTACGACCATTATTGAACATTGTTAAGGAGAACTTTCGAAAAATACCAAAAGAAGAGAATTTATGTGTCGATGAACAAATCATTCCATTCAAAGGAAAAAGTGTAATGAAACAACACATGCCAAACAAACCCAACCGCTGGGGATACAAAATGTTTTTACTGGCAGGTGGTGAAAGTGGTCTTTGTTATGATTTCGTTCTTTACACTGGCAAATCCAATAGTACAGAATATGGATTCTGTACAGATATTACTCTTACTCTTTGTGAAACTGTTCCACCAATGATGAATCACAAGGTTTATTATGATAACTACTTTACTACGATTAGATTGCAAGTGGAACTGAAGAAGTTAGGAATCTTTAGTGTTGGTACAGTTCGAGCGAATCGGTTACCTGATCTGACGATGAAAGACGAGAAGCAGTTAAAACAAGAAGGCCTAGTTGCAACCGATTATCGAATTACCTATGTCGATGGCGTGGAATTATGTGTTACATGGGCATTTTAATAATCGGAGAAGAATTTTTTTTTTAAATTTTGACCCGCTTCAGCCGGATGTTACCTTTGGGTTACATGTTAATACTCTGTTAAATCTCAGTTATTCTGCCCTCGAATTTAAAATGGGTTATCTCCATCGTATAACTAAAAAAATATGTGCTATAAGAATTTTTTTCTTTACGGGATCTAGGAGCCGGCCGTAAAGGATTAAAAGTCCTACTTAGGACTTTTACTTGAGTGTAATTACTTAAGTATATTTGTACTTGAAAGAAGATCTCTTGTGAGATATCTACTTACGATGTAGGTATTACTCGAAAATATACTGAAATATTACAATAGGACTACTAAAAGCATTCATTACCTGATTAACATGAAGAAAAGCATCGATAAATTTTGGAAAGGATAAGTCCAAAAAATTCATATCTCACACAGGGCAGTTTGTTAAGTCCGTACATTTTCATGCGGTTTCATTCGAGTATTATAAAAAGCATAGGTACGTTCTTAACTTATATCTTGCCCGATGACCTCTGCACATTGATGCCCCCCCCCCACTTCAATTCACAAGAGCTATCAAGGTATAATTAGTTTCATCAACACAACAGGATTGAGAATCTTTCAAAATTTATTTGAACGTACTGACAAATGGAAACAACCCACCAATATTTTTAAAACAGTTGCTTGAATCTTTCACACACAGATTACAGCGCCCTCAGAGAGATCACCATGAATAAGACTATACTAGAAACAGTGAAATTATTTAAATACCTAGCCTTGACGTGGACAGACAGAATGTTTCTAAAACCTACAGTAGATAAATGTTTTGACAAAGTTCTAATGTCGTAGAGCAAATTGAAATAGCTCCATAAAGGTAAATTTATCAACACTAGAGTGCTAAGAATTTGTTTCTTCACACATTCATTCTGGTATCCCACTCCGTCTCTTTTCCCTCCTTTTCCTTTTTTTTTATGAAAAGTTATGTGGATTTTAAGGAAGTACGCCACTATCGATTCGTTTACATATTTTTTACTCCATTAGTTCTAGTGAATCTGTTTCTTCTTGCATTCCTGTTCTTTGATGACAGTTGTAATCAATTTATGCACATATGCAACTAAAGACAACGACAGTGTTTATCTGTCCTTTCGTTTTGGTCATTTTCTTGGACGAACTACGTTTTGTACCACCTATTCCGCACATCTGACAGCGTGACAGGATGTTAGGAAAATTTTTTTTATCTTTGCTGATTTCGTGTAGCAGTTCAGAATGCCGGATGTTCGGAAAGCTTTTTGTCTAGAAATGATGTAGATATAAACAGGAATCAAGGGGGAAAAGGCTGATTTAAATCACTCAAAACCCAAATTTAAATCATATAAATCACACAAATCACATTTTAATTAAAAAAATCAGACAAATCATTTGAATCGCTTTGGGAAATATTTCAACCAATAACGAAACCAATGTGAAATAAATTCATTTTGTGTTGTATTCTATTCTATAGAATAATTCTCCTCTTTTCAACTTCTAAAAAACATGTGCTTTCTTCAGCTAATTTCACTTACAAATTCGTTCTACTTCTCTATGTACGATCGAACGCGACGGAAAGAGAGGATTTCATTCGATTTATTCTATCATCTCGAGACAGAATATATCCAAAGGAAACAATTCTCTCTTGCTTCGTTATCTCGTGTTCATTTCCGTTCTAAGATGTCGTCTTGGCTAGTCGCCTTTTATTTTTCGATAAACTTATTCAAATATTATTTGATCCATTATCACCGAAACTACTCATGTGAACACGAAAACGATTCCACAGAACGTGTTTGATTTACAACACGACGATTTTTATAGCTTTGTTGAAATGCATGTAGGAGTCCTACAGGCAAAAATCCTTCAATTTCAACTAATAAGCGACGCTACCACCTTCAGAGAATGTCACGATCCAACAGAAATACTGCAATACAATGGCGAAAAGCTTACTGGTCCGAAAAACAAAGCCTGTTTAGTAACTGGTAGTGGAACGTGTATCATTCTACCCGGTGTTGTGGCCTCGTTCAAAATGCTGAAGAAACGTCTCCTCAAGAAAATCGAGGAGGATAACAAAAGAAGCAAAGGAAATACGATCAATTCTTCTGCATCACCTCCTACACTAGTTGTGAATGCTGTCAAATCGATTGACGAGCAACGAAACCATATTTCAATTGCAATTACTCACTGGTTTCAAACTCATCGTGACGACCTTAACTGTACAGAGAACGCCTCACTTGAAGAAAAGACCGATTATCGAATCGAATTTAACAGTGTCAATGAATTAGCAATAGTCGTATGTGGGTGTGGTACAAAGGCAACATTAGGCCGGGCCAACAATAGCGGAAACTTTCAAATAGGTAAACACATATGTGTAGACGCATTTATATACCGATTTTTATTTTATTATGTTTAGATTTCGAATTACTACCGCCACATCGAACGTGGAAGTTGTTCAGTTATGTTGAAGAAATCAAATGATAAATCTGATCGGTATACAAGTGACAACGAAAACAACGACGACAGCGTCACAAACTCGGCTAGTGTATATGCCATCCCGAAATCGCCGTTAATCAATATGAACCGTAAGGAAACGCCCTCTAAGAGGAAACGATCACCATCATCGGCACCTGCAACTCGACGACGCACGAAACATCGACGATCGTAGATGCAGTTCGTATCATAAAAGTGTCGTATTGTTTTATTTCTGTCTCACTAATATGGATAAATTTCGACGTTTGACGATGTTCCTATTTCATATTTATTCCTTGACACATTTCTGCGGTCACTTGTTTTTTTTATGCCGATATATGTTTCATTCCTTTCGTGAACTTCGTGTGCCGATACTGTCTTTTCTCGATCGATTATTTAATACTCCAGATAATTATCTAAAATATATTCATTACTGCTATATTTTCGCAAGGAATTGCGTCTAATTGCAAAGACAAGATAACTGCCCTACATCAGATCAACTCAATGCGTGACTAAGTAATACTTCAACGTTCTTCTCTGTCTGATACGAGTATACTATCGTGTACTAAATGATAATGGATCATATATCGTTTTGCAAGATAAACAAGCGAAAATTGAATTGTATACGAAAATGGCTCTGTCTTACCGATTATTGGATAAGCATATGCGATTTTTCAATATCATATATGTACTTAATTTCTTTTAAGTTGATTATTCGACATTCTCGTCGAATGTGGTGATCACTGTACAAGTAAATACAGGGTGGTCCAAAAGTCACGCACCAAAGGAAAAAAATTAAATATCTCCATTAAGGCTTGAGCAAATGAGCTGATTTTTTTTAATGATAGTAGGGGTATATACAAGCTTTTTATTCATATAGATATCGCTAAGTATACCCTCTGTTAATTAGTCGTATTGGCTTCAGGAAAAAAAACCTTATTTATCATATATAAAAAAAATAAATTTAATATAAAGAAAGATCGGATAGTTTGGAGAAAAATGTGATCATGCGAAAAAACTTATGAACAACGCATATTGTATTCATATGTATTCTTTTCGTACTTTTCTCTTTCTGTCCTTCTATAACCCATGTGATAGCTCACACGACATAAATCGTTTTATTAATATTGTTCATTTCATTGCATCAGCAAAAGTGCACGTACATTTTCTTGAAGTCAATAGGACTAATTAACAGAGGGTATACTTAGCGATATCTATATAAATAAAAAGCTTGTATATAAC